CAGAGGGTCGAAGAATAAGCCGACTAATAAAAACGTTGTGCAAACTCTTGAGCTTTCCATTATCAACTTCATTCCTTTATTTTGCTGCTCTTGACGTTTTAATGGGGAGTATAAAGTGATAGAGAGAGAGAGAGAGAAAAAGTCAAGAGGATCGATATTATAACGGAAAGGTTATCCGAAAAAAAACACACACACACACACACAATTTTCTTTCTATTTCTCTTTTAACCGAATTTAAATCTCGGAAAATTTTTTTAAAAATGGCGGAAAATATGATAAATTTAAATTATGAAGGAAAAGGAAACGTTTAATTACTTTGGGTAATTAATAAATGAAAGGTTTAAAATCCTTACTTTTCACAAAAACGAAAAAAAAAAAGAAGAAGAGGGAGAGGGGAAGAGAGGAAGGAAGGTTTTTCCTCCTCGAAAAAAAAAAAAATTTTTACCCGACAGAAAGGGTAATTAGGTGCGGAACATTTTGACGTGTGAACCTTTACATCTGTTTATTATTATTATTATTATTATTATTCTAAAAGAAAAATGAACGTTAAGGTTTTATTTCATTTACGTATTTAAAAAGAGAGATAGAGATAGAGAGAGAGGAGAGAGAGAGAGAGATAGTAGAAAGAAAAACATTTTTCAAATAATGTAAATATTCAAGTTCAAGTTTTTTTTTTTTTTTTCCTCGTTTTCTAAAAAAAGGTTTAATTTTTTTTATTTTTCTGTTAGCCTCAAAGTAAATTTTTCTAGAAATTTCTATATAATGGTTTTTTTTTATATATATAAAAATCATCAAGTCGATTAGGTTTAATTAAATTTCCAACAACCAACAATCCTTCTGAAATTAAAAAGTTTCTATTAACGACGACCGGTAAATTGAATGCAAAATTTTATTAAATTGTCAACTAACTTTTTACTTTTAAATTAAATATTAATTAAAAATCGATTATTAATAATAAAATTAAAAAAATTAATTATTAATAATAATAATAATAATATTACATGGATTTTATATTTACATAAAAAAAGGAAAATTTCTGCCACGAAAGATGAGGGAATGAAAAAAAATCGTGTTTTGTGTTATCACATAAATTCAATTTGTTTCATTGGTAATTATTTTTATAAAATCTTGTTATCATCGTTATCACGTCACGACAACAACAACAACAACAACAATTTTTGATTTTAAAATTTTTAAAAACCATCCATAAAATGAAAATATTAACGCGTTCGCGTTGTAATTTCGAGTTTTAAATCAATTTGTTATTCAATTATCTCGGCACTGTCACGTTTTAACGAACCTTTAAAATTCGTTTTATTAACTTTAAAAAAATTTTTTTTTTTTTAAATTAAAATGTGTCGTCATCATCATCATCATCATCATCATCATCATCATCATCATCATCATCATCATCATCATCGTTATCACGTTTAATAAATATTATTATTATTTTATCGATCTCGATCGAATAATAAAAAAAAAAAAATCAAAAATATATCTATCACACGGAGGTTTTTAATCGTTTAAAAATTTCCTCATTATTAATATTATTATTATTAAAACGAAAGTGAATTTTTTTTTTATATAAAGAGAGAGAGGGAGAAAGTGGGAGGAGAGGGGAGGAAGGGGTAAGTGGGAAGAGAGTAATAAAGGAAAAACAATTTTTCATAATTAAAAAATAAATTTAAAAAAAATAAAAACAAATTTTTTTTTTTTTAAACGAAAGGTTTTTATTATTATTATTATTATTATTATTATTATTATTATTATTATTATTATTATTATTATTATTATTATATAGCATGGAAAAAATGAAAGAGTTTAGGAACCTATGAAAGAATATCTAAGGAGACAATTTGCTTCTAACGATTTAATTAAACTACGATTTAAAACTTGTTATAACTCAATAAAATTAATGAAATTACGTTTCATCATCTCTTTTCATTGATGATGAAGACCCAACTTTCTACTTTTCTCGTTTAGCGTTAAATATTTTCATAAAATGTAATTTAATTTTCAAACCCTCCCCTCTCCCCTCCTCGTTCCCTTCCCTCCCCTTTCCTCTCTCTCACTCTCTCTTTTTTGGATACAGTCAGAATTTTCTCTCTCCGATAAATGTTTATGTTAAATGTGTGTGTGTGTGTACGTTTCGATGGCCCCTCCCAAAAATGTATTTTTTTTTTTTTTTTACGAATCAAAGTCGTGGAATTAGAAGAAAAATAAATAAAACGTGAAAACAAACGATCGAAACGTGGTTTTTAAAATTAAAATTAAAAAAAAATTTAATTTAATCAAACGAAAAAGTCTCGAAAATAAAATAATAAAAAATTCCCAACGCGAGAGTTTTTTTTTTTTTTTTTTTTTTTTTCATTTTATAAAAGGTCAAACAACGTTAATTCGGTTGTTGGAATCGTTTATGAAACAAACGAGTAACATTAGTTTGTAATTTAATTTTAAATTTAATAAACTGTAGGGAAAAAAGAGAAAGAGAGAGAAAGGGAATGTCACAATAAAAAGAGTGAGAGAGAAAGAGAGAGAGAGATCGGGGAGAGAATAAAAATGATTTGTACGTTATGAAAAGTATTGTAAATTGAAATGAGAAAATATAAAAAAAGATAAAGAGAGAGAAAGAGAGAGAGAGTAAATAAATGGGGGAGCCTTTCAGGGCCTGGAAAAGTTTATGGAGAGAAAAAAAAAAGAAAAGATGGGGGAAAAAACAAGCCTGGGAAAGAATGGCAGCTTCCGACGAGAGTGAGTGAGAGAGAAAGAAAGAAAATGGGATAAAGAGGAAGAAGAAAGAGAAAGAGAGAAAGAGAGAGAGAGAGAAATAAAAATGAGAAATTGGATTTACGCATAAAAAGCTTGATTCCATCCAATGTTTTCAAATTAAAAAACCTTTTTATTTAGGTTTTTTTTTTCCCTACTAAAAAACTTAAGAAAAACTCTTTTAGTCGCTCTAGTAAATGGTTCGTTAACCTATGAACCTGCGCAGGAAAAGCTTTTATTCTCTCAGGCAATTGTTAAAATCGGAAAATAACATTTTCATTTTGTGATAAATAATAAAAAAAAAAAATTATTATTATTATTATTATTATTTTTTACACGGTTTTTTAACCCATCGTCCGCCATTTTCCTTTTTCTTTCTTCCTTTCTTTCTCATTCTTATTCTCGAAAGTTAAACACGTCATTCTTCCAAACCGAAATTTTTATTTATTTATTTATTAATAATTACCGTTCTTAATTAATTATTAATTAATTATTTATTTATTTAAAAACCTCTCGTTCGTGACGTCATTATGACGTCACTTAAACACACACAAATTTATCTATCATTGTAATTATCACTAATCCGCGTGGTTGTTTAATAAATAACAATCACGTTTAAACTTGTCATTTTATTTATTTATTTTTTATTTTTCCTTTTTCCTTTGTTTTTCATGTGTATTTTTCTAATTTATAAATAATAATAATAATAATAATAATAATAATGATAATGATAATGATGATAATAATAATAAATTGTGAAATTTAAAATAGATAAAATTGCCGTGAGGCGTTCGAACGTAATTATTCCGTTAGGCAGTAGATTAACTTTTCCATTACCAATTCATTATGAAACTCAATTTAATTTAAACACGACCGAGAGAGACAGAGATAGAGACAGTGAAAAAGAGTAAGAGAGAGAGAGAGATAGAAATATATAATTTTCACAAATTAATTTTCATTATTAAATATAATAGGTGAGATTATAAAGTTTCTTCTTCTTCTTCTTAACTTTAAATTAAACATTTTTTAAGGAATCGGCCAAAATAAGAAAAATTTTAAAATACGATAACGTTAACTTTTCTTATCATTTTCCAGTATTATTATTATTATTATTATTATTATTATTATCATCATCATCGGGATTGTTTTTTGTTTTTGTCAACCGGCGATGACGTTTAAAAACAAACAAACAAAAAACAAAATGTAATATCGTAAAATTACGGAATTTCAATGGTTTAAATCCTTTTTTTTGTCTTTGTTTCGGTAGGAAAATAATAATAATAATAATGATGATGATGACGAAATATGTGAGTTAACGGTTGATGTGATTTTGGACAAAATCCTACGAACGATTTTCTTTCTTTCTTTCTTTTTTTTTTTTTTTTGATAAATTGAACGACAAAAAGGAAAATTAGAAAATTTGATGTGTGCGAATGTGATAGCTCAGAAAAATGAGAAAAAATTTAAGAGAGAGTAAGAAAGAAAGGGAGAGATAGCGGTTAGGATAAAGGATAGGAATATGAGAGACAAGAGAAAGAGAGAGAGAGAGAGACAAATGGAGTGTGTGATATAAGTGTGGGAAATAGACACATTTTGAAAAGCGTTCACCTGAAAAAAAAAAAAAAAAAAAAAATTTCTTCTTGTTTTTATTTCATTTTTCTTTTCCAACGTTTTTTATATATATATTATATATATTAAAAATAATATTATGTTTTATATTATAAAGAAAAAAATATATATCGTAATAAAATATTTACGTAATTAATTAAATTAATAATAATTAAATAAATAAATTATTAAAAAAAATAATATAATCGTTTACAGGCAGGCGTCCAATGATTTATTTATTTATTTATTATTATTATTATTATTATTATTGCTTATTTTGTTGTAAAATTATCAAAGGCTTTTCTTTTTTTTATTATCCATGCGAAAAAAAAATTTTCTTTTTTAATATAAAAAAAAAAAAAAAACATAATCGGTTATAAAAGGAAAAAAATAAAATTGAATAAAGTTGTTTGTCAAAATATAATGAGATTTACTAACAAATAAAAGGGAATCATAAAAAAAAAAAAAAAATTTTACAGAAAAAAAATTGAAAAATTACTTTGAAAAGGAGGAGGATGGGGAGGAGAAGGGAGAGAGAGAGGGGAAAAGTTAAAAAAAATTAGAAAAACTTTTTAGAAAAAAAACGTCGAACGAGGGGAGGAGGGGGATGGAGAAATCAAAACGACATGAAATCGGAAACTTTAAAACCACAAAAAACTTATATAGTTTTCCATTCGATATTTTTCAATTTCATTCATTTCCTGTATATATATTTAAGATGAAATTTCCAGAGAGAAATTTTTTTTTTTTTAGCTCGAGAAAGAGAGAGAGATAGGGGAGAGAGAGAGGGAAAGAGGGAGAGAAAAAAAATAACCGAAACTTTTCAATTTTTATCATTTCCCCTAAACCCCCCGTCTTTTCCCCCAAAACCCCGATAAAAAAAAACTTAACAAATTTTTTTTTTTTTATATGTAAAGGTGTGGTTTCAAAATAGAAGAGCCAAATGGAGACGACAGGAAAAAATGGAAGCTACAAGACTCGGTTTAAATGAATATCACAGCGTTGGAGCTTTAGGACGTGTCGGTGGTACGAGTTTAGCATTACCAATGGATCCATGGCTCGCACCTCCTCTACTAAGTGCTTTACCCGGTTTTTTATCTCATCCACAAACGGGGTATTTTATTATTATTATTATTATTATTATTATTATTATTATTATTATTATTATTATTATTATTATTATTATTATCAAACAACACACCCCTAATTTCCCTTATCAAAAAAAAAAAATTTATTTTCGATTCAGATATCCGAGTTATTTAACGCCTCCGGTTGTACCCGATGGAAAATTAACAAACGTTAATTCGATATCACCGACGTCGCCGCCACCGCCACCACCACCACCACAGCCGCCATCTTCTACCACGACGGATGCAAGAACTACGTCTATAGCAGCTCTAAGACTTAAAGCCAAAGAACACGTGGAATCTTTAACAAAGGGTCTTCAAATGGTATGAATATCGTTTTCCATCGTTTTTTTTTACCTAACCGGTGATTTCTTTACAAAAAACCGTCACTATAAACAAAAAAAATTTAATAACTTTTTTTTTTTTTTAATGTGTACATTATCATTATTATTATTATTATTATGGAAACGAAAGAATAAGAAAAAACTGTACAAAAATATATATATGTAGAAAATTTTGTATAAAAAAGAATGATATGAAATTTATATATATTCTCAATTTAGGGGAATTTTTTTCTTTTTTTAAATTCTTCGACAAATCACGTGTAATAATAATAATAATAATAATAATCATAATGATGATAATATTATTACGTACGATGTAAAAATATAAATAAAAAAAAAATTGTTGTATTTTAATTATATTTTAATGATAATATAATATATATATAAATATTATAATACGATCTGATTATGTTTGGGTATGGGTGTGCGCGATTAAATAACGAAATGGTTCCGTCATATTTATTTTATTATTATTATTATGTTTTGTGCGATCGACCGCTTTTCTCTCTCGAGTGCGTGTTCAAATGTTTTTTTTTTTTTTTTTTATTAATGAAGTGAGTGATAATGTTTATGTTTTATGTTACGTCGAATGGGTTTTTTATTACTTCATCCCTCTTTAAAAAAAAATAATAATATTTTTTTTTCACCCCCTTTTTACTTATTATTTACCCCAATTTTTTTTTTTTCTCTAATATGAATGATAATAATAATAATAATAATAATAACGTTTTTAAAACGAGTCGTGATTATTAATAATTTGATTTTATTTTTAAGGTGAGTATTACACGATTGATTGATTGATTGATTAAAAAAAAAAAGAAAATTAAATGTCGTGAACGTGACGTCATTCCCGTTAACCCCTTTTACTCTTCCCCTCTCCTCTCCCCCGGGGAGGTCAATTTTTTCGTTTTTTTTTCGGATATTTTAATGAGGAAAAAATTAAAAATTTTTCTTTGTTTTTATTTGTTTTTTTGGTTTTTTTTCGTGGATTTTTTTTCTTTTTGGAGAAGAACAGGGGAGGGGAAGGGGTGGTGGTGGAAAATTTAAACAATAAAATAAAATCCCGGAGAAAATAAAATCGGACAAAATTTTATAATTAACTTGATGTTATTTTCATTTGATGTTCATCGTTTAACCAAGCTTAAGGGCAATTAATTAGACTCGGATTCAGTATGGATCTTTTTATTTTGCTGTTGGTTGTGTTGTCGTATAGAAGAAGAGGGGAGGGGAGTCATGCGCCGTAAATTCAAAAAAAAGAAACCATGAGGAAAACTAAATAATCTAAGATGGGGTCACCACCACCACCGTCAAAATGAAAAATGTCATGGAAAATTAGTCTCACGGTTAGCTTGATTTGATGAAATTTAATTTCGATTTGTTTTTTTTTTTTGTTTTTCTTTTTTCTTCTTCTTTTTTTTTTCTTTTATTTTTCAATTCGCCGCCTTTCATCCCTTTTCTCTTACCCTTCCTTTTCATCCCTTTCCTCATCGTTTTCGAATTTTTCCCTATTTTACTACAAAATCATTTTTTTTTTTTTTTCAATTGCTGAAAACACAAATTTAACCAAATAACCTATGGTAAAACTTTCTTCTCTCTCTCTCTCTTTCTTTCTGTCTCTTTTTAACAATATTTATTATTATCTAATCCCACGATAATTTTTTTTTCTTCATATTTTAAAAATCATTCTTAAAAAAAAAATTCACGTAAAAAAAAAACTTACGTTTACCATACGTAATTTTTTATTTAAAAAACTTTGCCTTCGTCATTTTTATATTTATTAATAATAATAATAATAATAATAATAATAGTAAGTAATAAATAATAAAAATTTGTTTTTGTTTATATTTTAAACAATTTATCAAATGTAAATAACGACATAACGTGTTTAAAAAACGTAAATTTCATTTCGATATATATATAAACGTTACTACGATCAATCTCTCTCTCTCTCTCTTTCTCTCTCTCATCAAAATCATTATTTATTATTATTATTATTATTTTACTACTTTTACTTATGTAAATAAATAAAAATAAATACACACACACACACACACAACAACAACAACAAATTACGTAAAAGGAAAAAGAAAAAAAAAGGAATAAACATAATATTAATAATAATATTCATTAAAAATAAGAAAAGTATTATTATTATTATTCTCGATCGATATATCCTTTAGAAATTCTAATTAAAATTTCCTTAATTCATTAAAACGAATAACAAGAGGTAATAAAATGCTAATTTTTATTTATTTTAAAAGAGGAAAAAAGAAAAAGAAGAAGAAGAATATGAAGTAGTTTAAAAAAAAAAGAAAAAAGATAAAGGAAAATGGAGGAAGTAAATAAAGAAAAGAAAAGAAAAGAAAAAAAAAATTTTCTTTATAATGTTAATTAATATAGATAATAAAATTTTTTTTTTTTTGAAAAGGGTGATAAAATTTTGATAATTATATTTATTTATATATGCGTATAAATATTTCATTTCGTCTGCTTTTAATATTAAAAAAAAAAAAAAAAACACGAAATCTCTCGATTATTATTATTATTAGACAACGCCCCCTTCCTCTTCCGCCTCCCTTTTTTCGTGATTGATTTTGATTTATAAAACTTTTCCTTTTATTATCCGTCACTTTTAAACGTTAGCAAAAAATTAATTTTTTTTTTTTTGTTGGCAAAATTAATAATATCAATTATGCGTGAGATGTTATCGTCATAGTTAACTAATTATTTGCTGTCGTTAAACGTATCGTTAAAAAAAAATTATTTATTTTTTGCACTTGTTAAGAGAGTTTTGAAAAAAAAAATGTTTATAATCAAACATTTCATTAAACGCAAATAAGTAAAATAAAAAAAAAAAGGAGGGGAGAAGGAGGAATGATATGAATGAGTGAGTGAATGCGTTCGTGCGTTCGTGTGTGTGTGCTTTTTGCTACGGTTAATGATTTTCTAATAATAATAATAATAATATTAATGGGAGATGACATATTGTAAAATTCGGAGTAAACGCTACCGCTACTACTACTACTTCTACTACTAATAATAAAGCTCAATAAAATTTTCCGATTCATCGACTCATAAACACATAAACGTTTAATGGGTTGATTTCCTTTCCTCTCTCTCTCTCTCTCTCTCTCTCTCTCACTCTTTCTCACTCTCTTTTTCCCTCTATCTATTTCTATCTCTCTCACTCTCTCAATCAACACTCTTCATTTACATATTATTGATTCCAAGAAGAATTTTCAATTTAATTTGTTAACCTTTTTAAAGTTTTTATTATTATTATTATTAACATTATTATCATCATCATCATCATTCAACGATCGACATCTTTTTCTTTCTTTCTTTCTTTTTGTTATGCTTATAAAAAAAAAAAAAACAACACAAAATGACAAAAAAAAAAAATTACCAATATATATATTTGTTATCGATTATTTTTATTGATTCATGACGTAATCAGGCATTGTAATCAATACGTAGTCGTATAATAAGTAATAATAACGTTTAAAATAATAACAATAATAGTAATAATAATAATAATAATAATGATACTGATTTCCTTTAATTTTTTTTTCCTCTAACTTTTCCTCCACCTTTTCCTCCAACTTTTCCTTGATCACCTTAACCGGTGGGTTAAATTAGCATATCAACTCCCCCTCTTCTCCCCCTCTTCTCCCCCTCTTTTTCCCTCTCCTTCTCTCCGTCAACCCCGACCTCTGACCTTCTCTGACGGTCGAACAATAAATTTTTATGAAAAAAATAAAAAAAAAATTATGCTTAACCGTCTCATTTAAATAATAACAATGGTGATGATAATTATAATAATCGGTTTAATTTTATTATTATTATTATTTTTATTCATTCGTTTTAATAATAAAACAATTAATAATAATTTATTAATAAGTAATTATTGCTCCACTTTTATTAATAATGATGATGATGATATTGACGATGTCGTCAGCAAATATTTTTACTTATTTACAAGGAAAAAAAAAAAACTCTTCGAATAATAAAGTGCGAACGTGAGTGCGCGGACACGTGGGGCAGTGCGTGGTGCACGTGCGTGCGTGCGTGTATTTGTCGTTATAAAAAAACAAAAAAATTATCCAGGTGTAAAAAAACAGAAAAAATAAAAAAGTTGCGTGTTTTTAATTTTAATTTTAATTTGATTATTAATCGATTAATAATGACTCAGTAATGAAAAAATTGTAATGACTAAGTTTTTCCGGTTGTTACCATTCGAATAATAATAATAAAAAACCACGTCGAAATTTTCCTGAATGAGTGAATGAATGAATGAAAAGAATACAGAAAAAAAAAATTCTAGAATGAAAATTTTTTTTAAAATGATAATAATGATTTTAAATTCATACATGTAATGTTGTTTGTTTACCGGAAAAAAAAAATTTACTTATTCGATCGAAAAGGTGTGTGGGAAAAAAGTCGGGGAGGTGGGGGGGGGAATTAATTAAAAAAAAAGTTATTACTTTTTTTCTAAATCGTTCCGTTTGTTTTTTTTTTTTTTATCCCTCGTTTCGTGTCATTAGAATTTAAACAAAACAATTTCGAAATTTTTATTTTTATTTTTATGCATAACCGAATAACGAAAACAATAACAAAAAAGTTTATTTTTCGTTTGACCGCTCTCACAAAAAGCGGGGAAAAAAAATATTACGGTAATAAATTACAAAAAAAAAAAAATTATTAATCTTTTTCGATAAGGTACGTAACAATAACAACAATTATTATTATTATT